CAGGTTTGATACGTAAATGTGGCACATACGTTATCATATTCCACTGATCAACTCCGTATAGCTTCTTTCCGACATGTGGATTGCCACCAGCCAATGTTATTAAAGTTGGGAACCAGTCTGTGATATGCATCAGACCCGTATTCTCGGTACCCCGTGAGTGACGAGGAAGCAAATCACCATAAACGAATCCAACAGCTCTCACACCTCCTTCCCAACTCGTATGCTTTCCTCCTCTCAGAGGCCAGTTGTTGCCAGCCGAATTCACCAAAGCCCCGCCATTGTCTGCAATGTTGTATGATTAAACACTAAATTAGGAACAAACATTTTGAACCTCACTTGAAAATGTATACGAACGTTTAGCTGGATAATGAAACTGAATGTCAAATTTGATGAGAAACAATGATTTCCGACCTTCCGTAAATTTGCTCAGCTGATTCTACCAATTGTCTATCAACATAAACAGATTCGTCGTGTAACGGAAGGAATAACTATGATAAGAGGGTTGTATCACACACAATCATTATGTATATACGATTATTTTAATATTTATTACCGGAAGTGAAAACGATTATACTGTTTTTCAACATGTTCTTCTCTTCAAGTGCCTCAGTGATATTCGCGATAGCCTCGTCTACACATGATGTCATCGCTGCATATGTTCGTCTGTCCTCGTCATGAATAGTTGACTCGTATTGTTTCAAATACGAGGACGGAACCTCGAGAGGTGCGTGTACCGCAGAAAATGACAGGTAAAGAAACAGTGGCTATGATAGGAAGAGATGAACATGTGTCAGAATATAAATTTTCTCACAACCAGTATATATCGCTGGGGGGGGGGGGTCAGTCATGACGACCATGATTGTGAGAGCAGCGAAATTGGTAAAGAACACAGAAGCGGCGGCACGGCATTTTGAATTGGGGGGGGGGGGGCTCTGCTAACCAACCCTGCGCCGAAGGTGCTATCTCACGAGCGCGTCCGGGGGCATGCTCGGCTTTAAAACTTTTACAGGCTATTTCTTGCATTTTGAGGGCCACATTTTGCTGATACCTATTTTGTTCGCCACTGGAAACCTCGTCACTGAAAAAATCATACAATCATGCCCATTTAAAAACAATTGAGCAAGGCTGATAACAGATAGATGACATCAATGTGGCCATATAGACTATCTTTATTTTATTATAATACAAACTTACTTTGTTTTGATCATGTGCATTAATTATATCCTTTCCTTCATTTGCAAAGATTGTTGTGGAATATTTACCAATATACTTCTTAGCTATGCAATCATCATTTTTTCTGAGATTGTGCATATGATTAAAATGATCGCTGTGCGTATAGTGGTCTATACCTGCTCCAACGAAACCTATTAATATAAATGCACAATTAAACAAAAATAATACAAAATTGTAATAAGTGTTATATTCATTGATTAGATTATACTGTAAAACATGTCTTTTTCGCGAGCATGTCTTTTTCGCGAATTTAGCGAGGGAACTTATTCGCTAATTCAAGATGTCGCTAATGACTTTATTATCAATTCAAAATGGCCGCCAAACAAAGAAATCAACAATGACAAGAGAGATTTGCTAAATCAACATTTCGCTATTACGTCATTTTACAACAATTCGCTAAAATTGCGTGCCGCTTTTTCAACATGTTTTACAGTAGTTTGTATACTCTCGGTCATTTAAGCCGTTGTTGTGACCGATTAATTAAGGTTGATTAGACCAATTGAGTGGATCAATATCAATATGATCACAGAAGTTCAATGATTTAACCTCCTCATCCATGGTATGTCGAGGGTAAATAACTTCAAGGTTTTGAAACGGTATTGGCATTCATAGTTCAAAAAGAAAAAAACAAAAAAATAACAACTAACACACAAATTAAAGCACAAGCCAAAACTAGTCGAGAATTTAAATACAGGAGACAGGCACAGTGAGAGTAAAAATACATTGGAATGTCATGTAAGAATTATGTTTCCAAAAGCTACTATACGATAAATTTAAATCAATCCTGAAATGCTCACCGAAAAATGTGTCAAATCCTCTGTTATGAGGCAAGCAATTATCTGCGTAATACCCACAATGCCATTTACCCACTATATGGGTTGAATAGCCAGCGTGTTTTAATGGTTCTGCTATAGTAGTCTCGTCCAATGGCAAAGACCGGGGATGATATCCGAAACCATCTTGCGGAATCCCGAGTTGAATCTTGAAATGAAATAACGAATGTATGTTGAATGCAGATGGTATAGTTTTCTTCTTCCATCCTTTGTTTTTGTTCCGTGTTTTTATTTTTAAATGTTAATATCAGTCGGCAGACAATATCCGTGTACATATATGAATTATGTATATTACATAGTGTCGTGTGCTCATAACATGCATAACTAATCCATGCTATTTGGCAATTCATCACGGAGCACAGATTGAAATGTACGGCATACATATAAAACAATGTGCACTGCTTTAAAAAGCACAGCACCAGCAGAAAAAAATAAATAAACACATATATTTAAACAATAATGAACGACCCGACAACCCATAATGGACTCAAGCATACTTTGTGCTCCATATATGTACTCGGCTAACGCCTCGTACATATATGTCGTACAAAGTGAGCTTTCGCCCATTATGGGTTGGCGGGTCGTTCATTATTGTTATTATTTTGTAGCGTTGTCATTACCAGTGGATTTGCTGCCTCTAAAAAGCGGAAAAATTTGGAGAAAAATCTACAGTGAACGGAATAGTTTCACAGTCACTGGCCCGTGAATCTGAATAATTTAAAATGTCTTTCTGGAAATTGTTTCCACAATCTCATATGGCAAGCCAAGGAAGAATCTAGTTATAATCCATCAAATATAATTGTATTGAACTCATTTACATTGCGAGTGAATGTGTGACTGATGTGTGATGTGGAGTAGCATTACAGTGAT